AAACAGTAATTAAAAGAGTAATTAAAACTGGACGATCGGAGCTAACGATATATAGTTGACAGAGTTGCTTTTCTCGTAATTTATTCGTCTTTTAACTGGTAAATTTTAAGATAAGTTTGAACTTTTCACGTAACATTTGAAAATTCGAAAGATGGTAATAAGGCGTTGGTCTGGATGAGGTTAAGAGACGGCCCTGGGCATGGTTGCTAGCAACCCTTCCGAACTACGCGCCCGGCCAGTTTCAACGAGGGTGGAGACTGCGCCGTGTTTCGTTGTCGTTTACGTACTGCGTCCGTGCGTGCTCTCGAGACGAACGCATCGCGCCTCTTCTCTCCATTATTTATATACCACGGACGCGTTAGTAGATGACTAGCAAACGGTCGTCCAAACGGAATACCCGCTGATCGTAAAGGGAGAAAAGGGTGAGTGGTGCAGTGTTGCAAACGACTCGTGTTAAATACTGTCTATATCTGTGCTGCTGCGGATGCTGGCGCGATATTTACCGAACCTTGTCTCGCACCAGCCTCTTTTTCGTACGCTACTCTCCTACGACGAACCTTCGTCTTTCTCTTCTTGTATTAATTATTCCGCTAAAAAGATACTCGGGCTTTGGCAATATAGGAAACCTGCTTTCTCCATCTATCAAAGAAAGAATAACGAGTAATGTGACGTTATGAAACGAATCGTATACACGGTATCTCGTTTACACGTTGCTGAATGGAGTTGGTGGTTCTACCGTTTTACCACCATAGAGCGAGCACAGAGATTCGTGTGTCGTAGAAGGCGCGTTATCGCGCGTCGAGGTGCTAGTTCGTGTTGCAAGAAAATTCTTTTATACCGTTCCGGTTAGTTTGACTAATAATATAATCGTTCGTTTTATTTATATCAAACGTATCTGTGCACCACGTTGTCGTAAAAAACGTGCTTCGTTGTATCGCTTTCTTTTTCAGGCAGACTTCAGAGACTCGAGAGATTTCAGATTGTTTACGTAAATCTACTAATTATAGTTGTTTCGATAACGTAATGATAACACACGAGTCAGTCAGTTTACTTTTTCATAGGTATCGAGAAGAATCGTATTTTATATCGTTCTATTTTGCCGTTCGAAGCTTTTCGAAAGCTTCGACTTGGTATGTCGTTAAAAATTAGTAAAAATTGAAAGACTCGTGTATCGGAACGTGTATATGTGTGAAAATTATGGAAAAATGTAACGTATTCGTCGTTTCAGGTAATCTCACTTTTCATAGATAGACCGCGAATGTTTAATTACACACACACACACACACACACACGTCGTAACGTTCGTAACGTTTAGCGGGTGAAACGAAGGTTGTGTTTATCGTTAGGTGGAAATTAGGTTGAAATAAGCGTTGTTTGTAACGACGCGAAGTTTCATAAAAATTCGCAGAGCAGTTGATGCTCTTATAATCGGGGTAGTATGAAACGAAAGGGAAATCGAAATTTCAATGTTCGATCATACCTTCTCGACGAACTTTATCGCCCACCCATTTGAACGATAAACGATAAATTAAACTATATATTTTTAATCGTATCGATTCATTTCAGAGATGGTGGAAATTTGACCAACAGAAAATTACGATTATAAATAAATAGCGTATCGTAAAACTGGCAGAACCATGTCTACGAGATCGAAGGAGAAGGTGGTGGCTGCTTTTCGAAAATTCTTTCGACCCTCGGAGAAGATCTCGGAGCAAGACGGAGCAAGCAGTTCGACGAGTTCTCCGTCCAGGAGGCTTCTGAGTCGACATCATCGCCCGGACGCGGTCACTCCTACCGATGCCGCACTGTCCGACAATCCCGGCGCTAGCAACTCTAATCACGCAAGTTGTTTCTTCAAGTCAAAAAAATCTACTGCTAATTCCACGCAGGTATTTTTCTTACTACTATGTGTCCATTTACTATGTGTACAGATGTATTCACAGACGTATCTTTCATATAGACCGTGTTCGTTATAGTCGAACATGTATTTACGGACGCGGATCGAATTCAATATGAAGATTCGCTTCATAATTGTCGATAAGACGGATAAGATGGATAAGATGGAGTGTTTTGCAAATTTATTGCCAATTATTTATTATAATTGTGTTATTATAATTGGAATTTTTTCGCGTTTAATTTGAACGTATCGAACCGTATAAAGCGGCGAATAAACAATTTACGTTGCATATGACAGGTATTCGTTGGTACCAGACGACGAACGAGATAGTAAATATGGTTTTGGATCGTTAGTTTCCCATTAATTTCTACGTCTTAGTAAGTGTGTTGGTAGCGTTGTTAATGCAAATATCGTCACATGGCGCGTCGTTTTCGAGAAAATCGTTAGTTGGTAGAAATCGAATAGCTTTCGAGCGTTTTTTGTCGACAATTTGTGTAATCGAAACGTGGTTAACGACGTTAAAGTAAACGCTCGTTACGAACGTGAAATGACGAAACTTTGTCCGTAACAAGTGTCCGTAACTCGAGATTCGTTTCGTAATTTTAACGTTGTTTCAGGGAACGGTTGCAATGCCGATTAACAGAGTTCGCTTACGTCGTTTAATGAAAGAATTAAGCGAGATTCAGAGGACGCAGAATCGACTGGAGTCGACGTTCACCGCGGAGTTGGTAAACGACAATTTGTTCGAGTGGCACGTGAGACTGCACAAGATCGATCCGGAAAGTGAACTGGCCGCGGACATGAGGGAGCTCGATATACCTTACATACTTCTTCATATGGTGTTTCCCGAGAGTTTCCCGTTCGCTCCGCCTTTTATGCGCGTTATTTCGCCAAGAATCGAGAAAGGCTTCGTTATGGAAGGCGGCGCGATCTGTATGGAGCTTCTCACGCCCAGAGGATGGGCCAGTGCGTACACGATCGAAGCTGTTATCACGCAATTCGCGGCCAGCATCGTTAAAGGCCAGGTAAAATATCTTCTTCGCGATCATTCGCCGATTCCAAAGTTTCCAAAAGATCCGATACTTTGCGAACATGTACGCTTCATCGGATACGTTTTATTATAAAGGGACATACTCGTCGGGCAACCGTCGTGTTTGCCAACAAAAGTAACATGGTCGTAACAGGTCTGGGTATTCGTACACACCGCCGTATATCGAAGGTACAGGCGAAAAACCGATATTTTGCGTCAGCTTGAGCGACCGTTTTGCGCGACACATTCGCGCTATCTACTTTTATTCCTATTCTATTTCTTCGAAGGTTTGCCCGTGACTATCGGCAAAAGGAAGTTACAAAGCCAGAGTGAGTATTCTGCGCGGACTCGAAAGAGATTAAGAATATACGGTAAGGAGCTGATAAATGTTCGATAGTGCGATTCTCTACCGACATCGCTCGATACCATCGTCGTTTTTACGACGACAAAGGAACAAAACGCTTCACGGACTTGAAAGAGATTTAGGGGATACGGAGAGACACTGGTAAATGCTCGAGAGCGCCGCTCTCCGCCAAAGCCATCCGGTACTGTCGTCATTTTTACGAAGAAAGGAAGACTAACCCTTGTAGCTAGATTCGACGGATTAAGAAAAAAAATGGTTATCGTTTAGACACGATAGAAAACCGAAAGCGCGAGTCTCCGTAACGGTGGAAAGAAATTGTAAAATCAAAGTGGCGAACCCCGTTTACCATCGATGGGATCCTAACTGGATTAAATTTAACCGTTAAAAAAAACTGATAATCTGCTTGTTTGCCAAGTCGGCTAATCGTTATCGGTTAAATATATGTATATTAGGTGGTCCGAAAAGTTTCTTTCCCTTTTCTATTATTTTATCCATTTCGTTCTATCGAGATAAAGATCGCAACGTTTGATAGATTAGCTTTCACGTTTGTATAAAGATGCGTCGTTGTAAAAGACGCGTCTGTAAAAGAAAGACACTTTCCGGATAACCTAATATAATATATATATATATATATATATATATATATATATCGGTTGCGTGTTATAGTCATTAATTACGTATTAATAATCTTCCTTGCGAGCTTTGCCAGATAATTCCCTGTATATGTGTAGAAAAATTTATTAGATAAACAATTACACACGCACACACACGCACGCGCACATACAAACAAAACTATTTTATTAAACTAGCAAACTACTTTTCAGGGCCGCGTAGCGAGAAAACCAAAGTCCAGCAAAGAATTTAACAGACGTTCCGCCGAAGAATCCTTCAGAAGTCTGGTAAAAACGCACGAGAAGTATGGTTGGGTTACGCCGCCGCTTACGGAAGGATAACTCTGCAGACGTTCCGAAGGAGCGAAAGACGTTGTCGTTATTTAAGAATTCATGCTCACAATCAACAGGTTTCGGACGTGACTTCGGTTTGTATCATTACGGCAAACATTCGATAATCGCGCACGCGTAAAAACGATCCTATTCCTAGAAACTGAGATTTTGGACGTGCCAAATTTTTGACTCGTGATCGATAAAACCTTTACCAACACCTTTGTCACATTTTTCTGATTTGAACGACACCAAATACCATTTGGAGCGTAATTTGGAGCGTAATTTGGAGCGTAATTTGGAGCGTATTTGCTTACTTAGTAAACGACGATTAAATACATATCAAGAAGTAAATGTAATTCGAATTACATCGTGCGATTGGCTCATGGTGAACTCGTAGAACCGTTCCGTTCTCTTTCAATTCCATGATTTTTTTAATACGTTGTAAAGCGCGACATTTTTTTAGTATCCTTTTCCCACGCGTATAACAACCGTCCATCTCGCTTACTTTCCAAGATGTTACAAGCTACCGTTGCACACTCCGTTTCTGCTTATAATCGTGCGTTCTGTGCCAGCGTATACATCGCTATTGGATGTCGGTCGTTTACTTGGCGACGGTTCGATCGAAAGTACCAAGGCAAACCCAAACCCGATACATCCGTGATATTCGCTTTTAATCGAATTACAAATTATAACGGACGTTTCTTGCATTCCTGCAGCCTTGCATATGCCCGTTTTGCAGCGGCAACGGACTTGCCATCTTTCTCAGCAAACGGAGGAATAATCGGCCGGCATCCGATACCGACGTGTACGCTGCCACAGACGCGTAATTAGAAACAGAAATACGCTGTAGCGATACCTTACGATATCTTGGAAATAAAGGCGACACCTGAACGGTTATATATACGGAGAGGACGGATCGGTTCTACGAGTTCGTCGCACTCGTTTTGATCGGAGACATCTACCAAATACGTTGGCAAAAGTTTCATTAAGAAATGTCGAAAAACAATAAAGTTTCACGTTTGAATTAGCATAGAATTAGTAGTCAGACTCCGTAGTGGGGACGAGGACTGTGCAACTACGGGGAACATCTTTCTGTACAATTATCGAATGCTTTCTGTACTTTCTTTTCCCGGAAACAATGTAACTGCGTTATAATCGCATTAAACGTTGCTTTTATAAATGACAGATAACGTGACAGTTGAAAAAGCAAGGTGGAAACGGTAATGATAAAGCTCGAGATCTAGTTACGAAAACCAGTATTTTACCAATTCCACGTCGAATGGATTATCGGTAAAACCATTATGATCCTACTACGAGTAATAAGCATAACCTAACGATAAATATTTTATAACTTTTACCTGGGTATCTAAATATATTTACAAATATTTTTGTTAACTTGTTACCAAAAAATGTCTCATCCAGCGAATTAGTTTCGTTCCATTGAAACGTAAGAATAAGAATTTAATGGTATAGAAGGAATGAGACATTCGTTACAATGATCGAGTAATTTCCGTTACCGCGTAATACAAAATGTTTAATACAGCCATGTTATTTATATTTGTAACATCTACGGATTTTTTAAGCGAAAAAGAGAAAACGTAGTCCCTCGATACTGTATTTCTTTGTTTCGACTCTCATTGCCTTGGACATGTGATGCTACAAACACCTGCATAAATTTTTATATCGCGTCGATTAACATTTGTAAAAAAAAAAAAAAAAAGAAAAGGGAAAGCATAGCGTTAAGTTTAGCTTTTATTATGCTAGCCAATTTCCAAACGTATTTCATAGCACTGTATAATATAATTTTCAGTATTCTGAAATTAACAACGTTATTCCATATATGCATATGAGTGCGCGAGACATTCTGTACTAATTGTAAATTGACTCGAATATAGTGTACATTGTCCTATTGTATTTACTTGATACCGTCTCTATCATCGATCGTAAAATGAAAATGAGCGAAAGATGTTCAGTTGAAAGATCATATCCAGTTTGCTATTCGATCGAAAACATTAGTAACGATTAACGATTATCTATCTAGCATCACGGCTAGAAAATGATTAAATAAAAAGATTTGTTACTATAATAAATCGTTTATTACACCTATCATGATATTCGTTGCTTACGCTTTTGTCGTCATTCTTTCACATTTTCATTCGGGTACGTTTTAATTTCGATCTCTCGACAAGCGCGATTAATACGAAATATTTCAAGTTTTCGTAGTACACGAGCGAATTCATCGAATCGATTATTTCTAAAAGTTACTTCGATCCGATCGCCGATTATTTTAAAAGATAATGAAAACGTTTTTCGTTATTTTTTAAACAAATAACGTTAGAATGATTCAGGATCGGTTAACATATTCGGAACGTTACTACTAATTAAACGAATAACGACCAATTTAACAGCAACAAACGTAATTAAATATATATAAAAGTATATAACAACACGTTTTGCGTACAAATGTAGTCGTATCGAAAAATTTTAATCGCAAAATTCTTTTCACACGAGCTACACATAAGGCACATGGTCGATCGCTATCCTTTTGAACACATTTACTATCACTGTATGACAATTAATTGCTTACGACGTGTTTCAAAAGGCCTAGTGTCTTACATATTACAGCTTTCTGTTTCTTAAAAAATACACATTATCTAAATCCTAAATGAAATTTATGCGTCGTAGTTAAAATCGGGAACGTCTCTAGAAAAAATGCTAAGAAGGCGTTATTATAACGATACAATATCGAATTTGTTGGTCTACGAGTAGCTGATCGACTAACAAGCGGTATAAAATATTATCTTGTTGTAAAATATCTTTGTTATATTATATAAAATAACCGGTATCGTTCGATATAACGAGTGTGCGAGATATCGTTCAATTTTCCTACCTTTTAAATGCATTATTTGACCAGACGTGTCATACGGTAGTAGCAGAAATACAATCGTGAATTACAAAGTATACTTTCTCGGCGCGTTAATTATAGAATAATGATCATTTCTCTTTTCGATATTTTATAAATAATTTAACGTAACTAAATAGAATCATGGTGCGATAGACGAAAGAGACATACACGTATCGATGCAAGAACTACTTACTATCATTGGTTTACGGACCAACGCTGGTGCATGGCGTTCACCACCTATCGAACAGCATAGTCGATCGAATTGCGATAAATAATTTATAACGCTTCATTCTGTGTATGTACAATTAAATAGTTTAAATACGACACACGGTTCTACTGCTTGTATTACAGTTATTATGCGTCTATTAATAAAATAATACCCGATACGTATTATTTTCATTATTACGAACAAATGGAAAATTCACATTTTCTTACGATTAGGTGAAATGCGTTTAAACGATACCTAAAACAATGCACGGCCGTGAATTAATCAAATAGGTTTTTGCGCGATGGCGAATATTTTATGCATTGTTCGATTAACTTTAGCCAATGCACGATACGGAACACGTGTATTATCGCGAGACAAATACTTCTTGCAGTCTTATGTGATTTTATACACACGCATTATCTACGGAACACGGTAAACAACCTTGTAGTTAAACGTACAAAGTGGTCAATAATCGTTGATTCATATAAGAACAAAGAAGAATACGGGGAAAAATGAAGAGTAAAGAGTATTTGAATTTTTTAAGCGTGTAAGAGTATCGATTACCTTGGAAACTACATTTTTTCTCCTTTTTCTTAAACCTTTTTCTATTCGTCGATTCGTAATTTATCGTTTAATCCCGTCGAATTCTTGTTAAATCGTGTCGTTTAACCATAAGAATGGTTAACCGTAAGAATGACAACGGAGGACAAAGTGCAAAGTGCAAACGTTTAATAGTGCAAACAATTCTGTTGTAAAATAGGTTTCATTTAGGCAAAGAGGTCGCGTAACGAGACGAAAATCGTCTCTTCGGAGACGATAAAAAGTTGTTAAAATTTGTCGTTAAGGCGATTAAGAAAACGAAATTAACGAATTAAATGCAAAGGGAAATTATCTGAAAAGAGAAGTTGACGTATTCCTTTACTTTTCTGCTTTTCCCTTTCCCACTTTTTCTTATTCGTCCGGGATAATTCTACTTAACGCGTATTTACAAATTCTATAATAAATGAGCAATTGACTTTCTAAGATTCTCATTGTGCGTATACTTTTCGGTGTATCTATTTATCACGTTATACCTATAGCTTCGAAGCAGTTTGAATAAATGAGAGATTTAGTAGATGAGATTGAAAGTGAAAGAGGAGACGATTCTCCTCTAGTTAAATGCAACTAATATCTAGCAATTATGCTATGCGATCGTTACGAATACGAATTATTAGAAAATGTTGTTGCGTATGATCGATGAACCGCCCAATTGACATATAGGCAATGAAAATCGTGGATATATCGTTCGTAACATGTATATAAAAAATACGGATCAAGTGTGCGATCGATTCGTTCATTTATACATTCTACGAGAGACAACATAGGTTTGTAGATTTCGTTGGAATGTCGGGCATGCTTTCGTTCGAAGTCGGATCTGTTTAACTTGTAATAAAACAACCATGGTTGTCATTGCGATATTTATAAACGAAGAAATCGATGGATCGATGTGGCGCACATTCGCATTATAGAAATTTCTATACGAAACTAATTATAAAGTAATCGTAAACGTTAATTATAGTAGAACGGCACTTGGTGATCAATCACTTTTCTCCTCTTGCACGCACATGAATAATTTAGCGCAGATCATGTTGAAATTGTCTGCAAAAAGTAAACAATTTTTGGTTATATAAATAACGTATGCTCTGTATTCATAAATTACAACGAGAATTAATATTCGACTAAAATGAAACTATTTTCTATTTTATCTCGATAAAGCAGACATTTGCTCGTTCGCGTTGTAGATCGAATGCAAATATATAAAAATACAGGAACAACGATGTAAAGATATTGGAAATACGAAAAGTAGAGCAACATCGAGCATCGTAGTAGATAGAAACGTTTGTCGAAATCAAATTTTTGTTTCGTTCGTCGTTCCCTTTGTTCTACACCTTATCTTAAATAACGTTATTCAAACGATAATATGGGTATCTGTAAAATCAATTATTCGACTTTTATTTTATTACTTGCGTTCCAAGCAAAGAGTAGGCAAGTCCGAGTATTGTTAGATTTAGAAAATACTCTGTTAAGAAAACGATTGTTAGAGAGCACTTACGAGACGATCTGATGATCCATTTAGGTTTCTTTTCCCAATAAATGAAGATGCAATACATAGGAATGCCAGATAAGATGATTATCACTCCTACTCCCACTTCCCATGGAGACACGTAGCAGGGGAATGTGACCAGGAAAGCACATATTATGAAAAATATAATTGGTAATACGATAGATACCTAACGAAGAGAAAGAAACAACGTTATTTATTTATTTCATCCGTATTCCTTATCATTAGCGATTTCGTTTATTACGTCTCGGATGTTTTATAACCGAATCTGGTTTTAGTTTGAACCGATCTCTAATTTATTACAAATTTATTACGATTCTAATTCAGGCAATTGAATAATTCTAAGCAATTCTGCCTGATATGTATATATATATATATATACATATGCTATATATATATATATATATAGCATATCGCTGTACATATTGTGATCTTTTTATGGTAATTCGTAATGTTAAAGAAATACAAGGTATATCGTGCTTTATTTTCGTTATCATGCGTTAATTTTGTGGAATTTTGCATCTTGGAATTTCCTATAAACGGATAGAATACCGCGCTGTAACAATTACAGATAAAATACGGAGGAGGAAAGATTTGCAATCTTTAAATTCTTCGCATACCTTTATCGGTCGTTGGCGATCGGGACTTTTGTAACGAAGCCAGAGGAGGCCAGACACCGAGAGCGTAGTGAATAGTGCTTCAACGAAGCTAACATAATAGATTAGCACATAGACATCCTCTATGATCAGAAGTGCCAGGGTGATAATGCACTAGAAACGGAAATTATAGTTTAACGCTTGAGCCAATCCGAGTACAACAGCGAGAAAAAAACGAATCTTTTACATTTTATTATTTGCCAATCGTAATTAGGAGAATCAGAAGGAAAACAGGGAAAACGCGTGGTTCGATGTAAATTCGAAATACCGAAAGTAGCGCGTAGCAAACGACGTTGAAAATAATAAACGTTTAATGGTATTGCGATTATTTCGATACGTATAGTTTGACTTTGGATAGAATTATTCCGTAGAATATTTGCGATTCGACCGTTTCCAGCGATAAATACGAAGAATCGGATCGACGATATACCGTTAACTAATATCAGCGTCAACGTTATTTTCACGTTCGTCCGTCGCTCGAAACGCCAAGAAAGGAACGAACAATTGCCACGTTATACGGATACGACAAATACCGGTCGAGATAAACGTATTATCCGTCAACTGGTCCGTCAACCGGAGCCGCATGCGCGTATCAAAAACAGTCAAGTTTTCCATCTCGTAGGATTTAATCGACGAGACCGGTTGAACCGCGTCGTCGAACGAGAGAAAGATCGATCTTTCGCTGGAATCGTCGTCGAATCGTAGTTTTCGCCTCGAGTATCTTAAGCGCGGAATAAAAGTACGCAACAACAGATACTTACGAGAAAAATGAGCGACGGCATTGGCGTTAAGTTTCGCACGTTGATGAGAGCAATGGCAGCAGGCAGATGTCCATTGCGAGCTCCTACGAAAAATAATCGCGACGATGCGAAAATTGCTCCGTTCAACGCCCCGAACGTTGAGCAAGCTACGAACAACGGCATTATCCAAGACATCACACCCAACAGCTTGTCGCTGAAAGTCTGCGCAGAACGACAAATTTATAAATGAACAAATTGTTTCTACTTATCGCGTACGTCTACGCGAATTTTTCTTTTTTTTTTCTTTTCTTTTTCATCCGTGCGATCGAAAACGAGTAAAAAACGCTATAACGCGTAACTGTTATTTTCGAGAGTAACTCGGAGATGCGTACGTTTGCGTGTCACGCGCGAGTCGAGTCCGCGACAAAGCGTAGGAGGCAAACGCGACAAAACGATCGTAAACACCGTTCTTGTTTCTTCGCTGTCTATCCGTCTATCTATACGTCTATATATCTATATACAGATAGATAATACTTTGTAACAGAATGCTTTTGCACCTGCGAAATTTACCGCTACGCGTATTGTACGTACGATAGAATGTCTCGAGGCGCGCGTGTTAATACATCTTTTGCCACTTTTAGGACCATAGTCCTTCCAGTGGCAGAAAAAGGATCGCAGAAACGATCGTAGAGTGGAACGTAAAATTTTGAAGCAACTTTGTAGCTTATTTTTCTACTTGTTAATTTACGCGGTCGATCGGTGTAGTTTCTGAGCAGTTTCGTCGACTCGTAGCTTTCGCGATACGTAAAAACCATTGGAAGTAAAGAATCCGCTTTATTTCGATTTTAGATTTCTACTTTGGTTTAAAAGGCCATCTTTCTTGTTATTTCCGACGTTTCTTTCGTTTTTTCCTAACGAAAAATCACCACCAGAAAATATTACGAATCGATCTCGAACGTATTCGCGTTCGCACGACGTTTTCCAACGTTTTATATTTCTAGCTACTTTTACGGCTCACTTTCGAGTTTAAGCACGTACGAGAAAAGATTACACGAATGTTCTGATTATTCGTGACAGTCCGATATACAAGTTTTAGCATACTCTGTTATACATTTTTTTTTCGCTTTCGATATATCTTTTTTTCTCTGATACGATCGCTCGTAGTCGAAGATGCGGTTGGAAAGAAATTCAAACTACCGTGTTACGACCGTTCGCGGAGAGACGCGGTCGCGAGGAAAACGCGTCAGAGGTCGAGAGGCGTAAATTCTCGCTACGATTCGGTTAATCGACGCCGCGAAATAGTCGTTCCCCTGTTTCGGTTAAGATAACAGAGGTGGTTAAATGAATATGACACGGTATAGTAAGTTATATGTCACAGTTTATTCTAACAACTCGTAACGAAGACAGTTACGCGGGTACGTTTATTCCAACAACTTATAACGAAGGCAGTTACGCTGGTGCGTATGTACGAGATGAGTGAGTGACTGATCTACGGGTGTGTATACCCGGTCGAAGGATGTTGACCGTTCGACGGATGTAAAATCAGTAGTGGTCTTGGGAGACGATGCTGTGTCGGAGGAAAGCTAAGGATGGGTGTTGTGTCTAGCGCACGGGGCCATCGGATTTGTTGGTGACGATTTTGGCTAAGAGAGCGAGGGAAATAGTCTTCGTTGTTAATTGGTTAAACGAAGGGTCTTAACCGTCCTCGAGAGAAAGTGGCTAGTGGCAGGAAAGTTGCATCGTACGTGAGAAAAACTAACTTTCCCTTGTCGAGCCGTAGTGGACAAAGGTCTTTAGAAATGCTTCGGAAACAGACGTTTGTTCGGTTTGAAGGACCTCGACTAGGAAATTCCTGAGATTTATGGAAGGTACTTGAGACTATCGAGGGTACGCGGTGAGTATCCGAAGACATCTGGTTGCCATCTTGCCCGCGGTGTGTGGCCTGGGCTAGATAGAGTGTTACGCGACGTAACAACCGAGAAATACGAAAGATCGAAGGATAGAAAAGTATATATTCGCATATCCTCGGTGTAGTTTGATAATTCATAGCGCGTATTAATCAATATCGTATTAACGTTGTTGTTACGTCGTGCGACGTTCTTCCTAGACCAGGCCGCACACCGCTGACAGGATGGCAACCAGATGTCCGATCTAATAGGCAATAAAGCAATCAAGGAACTTCCCACAAGGAACTACCCATAAAAGGGATAGCACTCATCACATCGATTTTTAATGCTATCCTTCGCCTGGAACACTATCCTAAGGCCTGGAAAATCTCATTGATTACTCTCATCCCCAAACCCGGTAACCCGATATACGAAACCAGCTCCTATCGCCCAATCGGTCTTTTATCTACCCTGTCCAAACTATTCGAGAAGATGCTCACGAACCGATTTCTTCCGATCCTAGAGAACTTGAAAACACTCCCAGATCACCAATTCGGCTTCCGAAAACATCATACAACAGTAGAGCAAATCCACCGCTTAACTCATACGATCAGCCAAACACTCGAACAGAAAAAATATTGTTCAGCAGTTTTCCTCGACATCCAACAGGCATTCGACAAAGTATGGCATGATGGGCTACTATACAAGCTCAAAAAGATCCTACCTCACCCCTACTACTCCATCCCAAAATCCTACCTAACCAACAGACAATTCATGGTTAAATGCCTAGACGCCACTTCCGCAACATTCCCAATAGAAGCCGGCATACCCCAAGGTAGTGTCCTCGGTCCCCTACTGTACTCCATCTACACTGCCGACCTACCTGTATCAAACGATGTAACAATAGCGACATTTGCAGACGACACAGCGCTATTAACTACCCACGCAGACCCGGTAATAGCCTCATCCACTCTCCAGCGAAGTCTCGACTCCATGGAAAAGTGGTTCCACAAATGGGGCTTCAAAATTAACGAAAAGAAATCTTCACATGTAACCTTCACGCTCCGGAAACAAACCTGCCCCCAGGTCACCATCAACAATGCAACAGTTCCTAGCAGGGACACAGTCCGATACCTGGGCATGACCCTGGACAGGAGACTAACGTGGAAGACACACATCACAGAAAAAACGAAGCAACTTAAGGACAAACTAAAAAAGCGTTATTGGCTCACGGGCCGACGCTCCAAACTAAACATACAGAATAAAATTACCCTCTACAAGACCGTAATAAAACCTGCCTGGACCTACGGAATCCATCTATGGCGAACAGCAAGTAACTCCAACATCGAAATACTACAAAGATTCCAATCGAAAACGCTAAGAGCCTTAATAGACGCACCCTGGTACGTTACCAACGAAACCATCCATCGCGACCTCAAGATACCAACAGTCAAAGAGGAAATAGCAAAATATAGCGACAGATATAGCAAAAGAGTCAACAAACACCGAAACCCCCTAATCACTGGACTACTCGATACGACGGACCAGATTCGCAGGCTGAAGAGGCACTACCCGCTAGACCTAAACGTTAGATTCATTTAATCATCCAAATTAAGCATATGCACTTACTTATAATACTAATAAATTATACCTATCTATAATAAGTATAACTTATTGTAAATAAACAGCCATGTCACTGCGCCACGCCAGAAAAATTACTGAAAATTCTCAACGCGAGAATTGATTGTAATTTCAACAAATAAAATAAAAAAAAAAGAAAAAAAAAAAAGATGTCCGCACGCCTTCACTGCGTACCTTCGATAGTCTTAAGAGCCGATCATAAATCTTAGGAATTTCTAAGGTCCTTCAGACCGAACCAAACATCTGCACCGAGTCACTGTCCAAAGCTTATTGTTTATCACGGAAAGATAGGAGAAGTTCGTTTTTCTCGTGTACGAGAGAAGTCCTTCCTCCCTCGCTCTCTCAACAAGAACTTGGTCTTAACGAATCGGCTTTTCTCGCATCGTTAGACCCATCCATCGCGAGTGTCCTCCGCTGCATCATCGTTGCAAAAAGTCAGTCTTTATACATTTTTTGAACCTTCGACATCTAAGCGTGCGTCGCGTACAACACCTTGTTACTCTAGCTATCGATCGAATTTCTAGTCAAGAAGTTGTTGGAACAAACGTCAATTGTATCCGTTAATTCGGCGTAAAGTCAATTCAATCACCCCTATTATCGCAACAGAAATCAGGGGATCGATCGTCTCGTGGCGTCGATTATCCAATCGTAACGGGAATTTACGACTGCCGTTGACGTGCTTTCTCGCGATCGCGTCTCCCCGCGAATGGTCGAAACAGCTGAGCGTCCGTTGACTCGACAGCCAAATAATCGCTCGCGAAGAAACAAGAACGCTGCGTAACGCCGTGGCGTGAAAATGTCCGCGAAAGATCGGATCGGATACGACGCAGCAAAATTAGATACGCGTTACTATCGATGGATGATGATTTTAGCCTTTATACGTGCATCTATTTTCTGGAAAGTAATACGCAAATTTATCGGGAACAAGAACTAAGCAGAGTTAAAAAGGAGAATTTCCGGATATACTGCGCGTAGGAGCGAGCATAAACGGCGGTGCGAGAGAAGAGGACGTAGAAACGGAGGCGGATAGAAAAGCAAAGAGCTACGCGCTGTTCCACGTAGTTACCAAAAAGAGAGTCGCAAGTTTTTTTTTTTTTTAAATCGTGTCACACGGAAGTCGTAGGAAAGAAAAATTCGTGCAAAGACAGGACCAAACGTATCTGGAATTACGTCGGACGCGATAAAATTTGGCGCGTAACGTGACAACGTTTGGAGAACAAAATGTTTAATCGGTATTGGTAAGATAAGCGGATCTTTCTCGTTTCCATGATAATATATATTTTGTTGTTGTTGTTGTTGTTGTAAGATTGTCTGTAATTCTAACGTACTACGTCTCCTTTACAATACGTCTCCTTTACGGTAGCAGAATAGGTGTGTCTTTACCGTCGATAATCGATAGAAAGAAAATTTTCCCAATGTCCAAGAAACGTTCGGTTCTGAAAAAACCAAATTAAACGAATTCAAAGTAAAGATAAACTTACGACAGCGACAGCGTTCGATGCCAGAATTTCATCTTGCGTTAACACCACGAAATAAGCGATGTTCGCCAGGACATAAATCACAGTCACCAACGGCAATGATATGCAAATCGCTCTTGGAAGATTTCTGCAAAAATGATAATTATACATATATATATCTCTTTTTTTACATCACGTTATCGAGATAACTTTCCCGATTCGCTTATCAACGTTCCCTCCACTTGTATTACGTATTCGTTTCGTACTAGGAAAATTACGCGCTTGAAAATTTCGGTCGAGAAACCGTTGGTAAATTTTCTATGAAATTGACATTTCGGCAAGTAACTTTTGTCATCGCCGTGAAAGATTTTTCTATCTAAAAAATCAAGTCCTACTGTTAATTTTGTAGAAAGAATTACGTTCTTGTCGTTAGAAATACAGTCATCGATACAGTTTAAACGTCATTTTTAACGATATTTGAATATTTATTTGGACTTTAATACTCGCTTTCTGCCGTTCGTTATCAACGAAAATAGGCGTGTATTTTCTTCAAACCGTCGCCTCTATCGATGATAAACGCGACAACAAAGACTCGTATAAATATCGACGAACAAAGAGCGCGAAACACGAAAATCACCAAACTAGATTTAGAAACACGAAAATCTCGTTCATGTTTTAAATATAAACTACGTAAATATCGCTGGCACACACGATGCGTCACTTTTACTCCGTAATTCTACAAATATCTTTGTTCGCGATGTTATCGAGAAGTTCGTTCCACTTTCGTACTCGTTGTTAGTTGCTCGGATCGAACAAACGCTGCTCGACGCTTACCGCTTCCGTTCGACAGGATGTATCGTTAAATTGCGAATAAATCGAGTAACGATGGTTTCGTTCCCTTCGATATAATCGTTGTAGTTACAGCCGATTTACCACGACTCGAGCAAATCGATTCTCCGAACATGTTTCTTCGTCTTGGAATTTTTCATCGTACAGCTATAGGTTAGATCGAGAAGAGCGTTTTAAATATATATATATATATATATATATATATATATATATATATATATATATATATATATATATATATATATATATATATATATATATATATATATATATATATATATATATATATATATATATATATATATATATATATATATATATATATATATATATATATATATATATATATATATATATATATATATATATATATATATATATATATATATATATATATATATATATATATATATATATATATATATATATATATATATATATATATATATATATATATATATATATATATATATATATATATATATATATATATATATATATATATATATATATATATATATATATATATATATATATATATATATATATATATATAACCATATATATATATATATATATAGATGATAGCGATGGGAACTTTGCGCGCAACGTGGATATATCATGTACGCAGGATGTTCCCCTGCAGTACTTTAAGCGACTGTCAAAGGAAAACATTGGTGCAGAACGTGCACCAATTGACGATACGTCTCG